CCCCCCCATTTAAAAAGAATCTGAACTATCCTGCAGCTGCTCCTAATAATATTTCCGTCACCATCGTATTCGTATGCTTGGTGATACACGCCACCGTAATATTTTCTTATTTCGTATATCCTTGAAAAGAGACCAATTGGCAATATAGCTAAGCATCGTCTTCGTTAACGTTCTATCCATGTTTCTCTTTTCTATGTATACGCTCATGCACACCGTTACCTTCTAGATGTAAATGGCCGAATTCTCCTTTGTCCCTTACAGTATAGTGCGTATAAATACAATTTTCCCGGTTTAATTTGAAGTATACACACACACGTTTTTCTTAAATTATTGCAAAAATATGTTCATACATTCCCCATTTACATATTCTGTACCTGACTTTAGGATATTCTCCCTTTCTTCTGTCTCTCTACACTTTTGCAGGTACTCTGAATTTTTTAATATTATTCTTAGCTCGTCAGTCGAGAGGTTAAGGTTAAATAAAAATATTAGGCTATGAGATAGTCCTGGCACTTTAACAATAATTTTATAAGGTTGAATGCATTCATTTGTTTCTTTTCGTGCATTATCGTTAGGATCATGAGCCACTGATCTATCAGCACATTTGTGTTTGATGGTCAGTTGGGCTCCTTTACTGTTTGATCCCTCGGTTCTTTAAATTGGACTCGCTTATCAATTTTATGCAATGTTGGATCTGTAGTATGATTAGCTATTAAATTATCATAAGATTTTCTATGTTATTTTATATTTAACGTTTTACTTATGGAATGGTCAACTTCTGTTCAAATGTTATTTATATTTTTTTGAGGATTTGAATTTTTTTATTTTTAGAAAGATTTTTTACTGAATAATAAGCATTTATTATATTACATGATTTATCAGGAGTTTTGTCATTAAATTCGTGTCTTGAAGATGTAGTATTGTTGAGCAATTGGTTTAAACTTCTATTTTTATCAATACTTTTATCATTATAACATCAGATTTCTTCTTATTTTTCGAATGATTTTCGTAAGCTATCATCAATAATAGTATACTATGTCACGAGGTCGTAAAGAGGCCGTAAAGTGGCTGATGTACAACCTCTTAGAGTATGTCCAGAACATCACGTGGCCATCCATTAGCCACCTTACGGCCGAGTGATGTACACGATTTTTCGTCATCTCGTATAGGTAAGTTTGTTCAATAGGTTGATTCGATTAACGCAGGGAAAAATGAATTGCTCGGTGAACCATGCGTTCCTCATAAGCATTGGTCCTATACACCGAGATCCTAATGAAGTGCGAATGAAAGATCGATGGATAATCGAACGTGCCTAATAATTAGAACAACCGATTGACCAAAAAAAAAACTTACGCATAATTCAATAGTGAATGCTAAAAGAATGCATTTTTTTTTTATTGTTCCTTAAAGTACACTAAAAAAGATACTTTATTCTTGGTTTTCCAGTCCATGCATTGAATATGTGCTTTTTCATACAGAGCGCGAGATTTTCAAAGAAGTAGTCCAATAGCCATGACAATTCACTCACCATTACCTACAAGTAACTCTAAACTTAAAATAAAGTTCATAAAAAAAAGCACGTAGTGATAATTTTGATTGCACGTACATAAGAAACGAGAAACAGATCATATGATAAATGATAAGTAAGAGAAGATAAAAAACTGTGCAATGCTATAGTTAATATAGGCGCGAACCGACTCGGCACAACTACAAAGGTTGATAGCAGAAGGCACTGAAAAGGTGAAAAGACAATGCGTACACGCATATGCATCTGGCCGTCAAAAAAAAATACAACTATAACACAACACTTGGCCACCACATGTACATAGATGCAAATATTCAGTGTGGATCTCATATATATAGATAGATAACCAGTGTGCATTTAAGAGCACGGGCTTGTAGAAGCGCCTCGCTCAGCGGCCGTACATTTATCGCTTTACATCTTACTATGCGGACGTAAACAACAAACTTTACTGTCTGGGATGACGAACAATATTTCATTAGATTTTCAAAATCTAATATATCATAATGACTAGAATTAATGTTTTCATAAAAAAATTAATTTAATTTAAAATTACTATTGGATTTTTCAAATATTTGAATATCGTTATTCTAGAAATTAACTGTAGCGTGAACATCAAATAAATCTGAGAAGCTTTTGATTTGAATATTTGTTCTATAAGTCTTATTTTTGAGATAATGTTAATATAATTTATTTTAGAATGTTAAAGAAAGTGTACTTTGAAAAAAAAAATAATACGTTGAGTAGATTTTGTAATATTTTATTGCATATATAAAAAAAATTTAATATGTATATAAAAATGTTTAATATTTATTTTTATACTTGATAACGAATACTGAAATAAATTAATTTTTACATTTTACAATTTCAAGTAATACAAGATTAACGAAAATATGATTATAATATGTCAGTACATATATGTCGTGCCGTTCTGCACCTTCCATCACGACGCCATATTTTAGGGAGATATGACTACTACAGCGCCGAAGAGCCTATAAAATGAAACGAAGTGGCCAAAGTTGAAACTAAAACCTTCGTTTCACTGTACATGCTCTTTGGCGCTGTAGTTGTCACATCTCCCTCAAATATGGCGTCGCGATGGAAGGCGTAGAATGGCACGAAAATGAGATCTCAGAATGCCACATCTTCTATTTTAACATCATGAATGCATCCGTAAACCAGGACCCAGCACAGAGAATCAAAGGACAGTGTGGCATATGAGCTATGTCACTTAAACTTATGAAGCTTACAGACGTGAGACTTCGAGCCAGTAATTAATTGATTAGGATTGTGTGCGAGTTGCTACTGAATATAGCAGAGCCCCTTAGGAGAAGCTCCTGCTTCTGCCACACTATCTCTTGACCCTCTTTTGTAGGGCTGGGTGGCCCTAGCGCCCTTTAAGCTAAGCCTACACCATGCATTTATCATTATTCTCAATTGACACAAACACAATTATATTGTGATAAGTATAAAACTATTGATAGTTAAAATCGCTGACCATTCGCATTTAACGTTTTGGTACAAGTTTATGTCAAAATCGTGTTTAATGTTTATTGGGAACTGCAAGAAGTATTAAATGGTTTAATTGTTAACTATTTACTCGTATTAGAGCAGATGAAAGGTTGTAAGATAATCACTTTATAAGATTGTTTGGAAGTCACACGTGTAATACGAGTTTTGTGACGGTAGCTCTTTTTAAAAGAAGTAATTTATTGGTCACGTGATTGTAGAAGTGAGTCTACAGATCGATGTTTAATATCTCTGAGCATTCACTAATTATAATTTTGAAACGGATCTGCGTATTTCGCAATAATAAGTATAAAGTATATGGCATGGAATGTCACACACACTTTAAAAAGTAACAGTTCCTTATTTAATGAAGTACTTAACTGTATTACTCTCAAAATTTGTATACTTATGATGTGTGGTAAAAACTGCCCTATTTTAATTCCAATCTGACTTATCAAATACTTTTAAGCATACATCATTTGTTTATTATTTTTTTGAGACGATTAACAATTCTACATTTTTGTTCCCTGTTTTTATATTTTTTTAATTCTGACCATACATATAAAAATTTTATTATTTCTGATATTATTCTACTTTTGTTACCCTTTTAATGGCAAAAAGAATTTTTCATGAATTACCACCTCAAACAACTTAATAATTTTTTACAATTTGACCATCTATGACCAAGGCGTTACATTGCATCGTTGAAGCTTCATCCCAAATAGTTAAACAATGTTATGATGTCATCGTTGTTAATGGCAAGTGTATTTTATTTTATAACAGATTTTTATCAAGCTTGAAACGAAAGAGGGAGCTAACAAGATCCAACTCTACTTCCGACCTCAGCTCACCAAAGATCAAACATAGACGCACATCAGACTACACAATGTGCCACTATGATCACTTAGACTCGGACGCAAGTACGTGCTTTGGCTCAGCTGGCAAGAAACCCCCACCGAACGAGTCAAGACTTTCCCTGACCAACTCATCATTGGAATTGCTTGGATTCGCACCAGTACTGATCCTTGATGAGGACATGAACAGCAAAAATAAGCCCAGTTTCGAACAGAATGATAGTAGACAGGATATGTTAGTTGAAGAAGAAGAGCAAAAGCATCAGTCAATAGTCGAAAAAAAGATGAGCTCTACTTTAATGACGCTAGCTGTGCCAGTATACGGGGAACTGCTTGACCAAAACATCGATGTCCATGAAGAAGAGATTGATGGTACGCTGGATACTGATTTTGAGGCGTCGGTCATCAAGGTCTACTCGTCCGATGAAAGCCAGACAACAATTGAGATAATGCCCGCCTCACCATCACCTGACATCAGTCACGAGCTCAAGTTTGCTGAGCAGAGAGCCATTGAGAAGTCGAGCATCTATGCCAGTGAGAATGACGGCTGCGAAATGCTCGAAAATCTCCAGTATCAGCTCGAGGTTGGCGAGGGTGCGGTCGATCCACTTAAAGTACCAATCCTTGAAACTAAGATGGAAAAAACTTCAAGCGAACTCACAGTTGAACGGATTCCTGGCATTTTAATGTCTGATCAGCTTGGTAAGTATCGTTAGATCATGGCTCTGATACCTATAGAATCGCCTAACCAATTAATTTCATCTTTTCTTGTCTCTTTTTCCAGTGACAAAAGATTCATCCAGCAAAAATTCCCTTAGACAAGTTTCTCAGCTGTTAGTTATTAAAGATGAAGACAAGAAAAAGGGGGATGGGAATGGGAAACGAATTATCATTGAACCGGGAAACATGTCATCACAATTATGTGACAACTCGATCAGCTCGTGCACGGCAAGTAGTGTACCATTGCAGATCAGGCTACAGAGGCTCCAGGAGGCAGAGGAGCTTGAGTCATCGTCGAGCACGATGGTAAAAAATCATGTACCTAACTATCTGGAAGCCCCTATCATTGGTGACAATCCAAACTTGTTGGCTTCATCATCAAATTTATGCAAGATTACGACAAATATCGTGAAGGAAAATAATTGCTCAATGCTAAATAGCAGCTTTACGGTCTCGTATTCAGACATGCTGGTCAAGAAGGTACTGGCTGCCAAAGAGACACTAAAAAAGTATTTAGGAAACATCACAACTGCTGGTGTTACAAGTGAGATGATAAGATGTCAAGAGGACGAACCCTCGAGATCAAGGAGTTTGACAAGGAGAAAGAAACGTAGCACTGCCAAGAACAAATCACCTACATCGAATGGATTCATGAGGTATTGACAATAGTTTTAAATTTTGTTAAAGAAATATAAATAAAAATATTTTTTTACAATTATTATTCACAGTTGAAACGAACACAGTACTTGACTTAAAAAAAAAATACTTGAAAAAAATTTATGAAAAAACTCTAGAAATTCATTATTGTCTGTATAATTTAGACGTGGCATTATATCTTTTTATTATGAGTTTTTTAGGGTTTTCAAACCAAAATTATTTATATCTAAGTAGTCAATACATTGTTAAATTAAAGTTATTACAATATTTTTTGCCATTCAATAAGCCACGAGTAGATAATTTTCCAAAGATTATCAATGAGTCGTTAAAGTCTCAGTAGTCGTTAGTTATGTTATAAAAAGAAGTACGAATTAAAATATAAGAAAGTTAACGTTATAGAGTTGCACGATAAAATAAAATTAAAAGAACATTCGACATTATTCTGCAGCACGATGTTTAAAATGAGAAAGGGGTAAATGACCCATCTACTCCGCACTGAAATTTTTGACTGTTTTAAATTGTTTATTTTTAAATGTTTTTCGACACAAATTAAAGCAGTTTTATTTTAGATTTATCCACAGCATCTTGTGCGATATTAAAGACGAAGATTTTCCTGTTATGTAACTTATTTTTTTTTTTTTTTTCATAATTGTTTTAGTTTTGATATCACTTTCTTGGATTATTTTACACAGTTATAAAATCAGTACCATTTACTACACCCCCAATTACTGCGTAGATATCTCCCCTAAGGTTTTTATGTTGAAGCCCCGACTCAATTACCGCGCACCAATCACTGAAAATGACTACGAAGTTTTGTTGGTTAGATTCGTTGAAAGTCATTTAATTAAATAGTTGTGAATGTCATGATGAAGAGCGTGGTAACCCATTAATTGGGTCATTTACCCCTAAATAAATATGAGCGTGCTGAGGTGACTTCACCAAGTTAAAGAAGGCCGTAATATCGGAATTCATAGCCTTGCCCCTAATATTAAGCAATCTGATGTTATTTTATAACAGAAACGAGTCACGTGGCAGAAACAAAGCATCCTCCACCAAAAAATCGTCGCCTCACCATAGATTAAATACCCGCTGCCATAAAAACGGTTCAAAATCGTTGTTTATCGATCGCCATTACAACAATAGCAACAACGGCAGGCTGGAAAAAATTTCTCATATGCCGCAATCTTCCATTCGGAAGCAGCAGCAGCACCAACTAGATCCACTTGCACGTGCAGTTGAAGAAAATCTACGGCACTCTAGGCAGCGTGAAAAGATGGTTGTGGACAATAAAGCGCCGCTCGTTTTATCAAACAACATTAGGCAAAATGATCTGATACATGACAATGAATTTAACAGAGCAAAGAAGGTGAATAACATGATCTTAAGGTTAGACAAGACCGATGCAATCAAATCCAAGACCTTAGAGCTTAATTCTTCTGAGACGAGTATATCAAAAATTGTTCAAGAGCTCGTGTTTCATGAAAAGGTGAGTTGTTGTTGTCTTATAAAAAAATTTTTGTTACAAGTTTTAGTTTTTGATTATACATGGGACAAAAAACGCTTCACCTTCACCCCCTCCCCTTCTTTCAGATAATTAATGGCACCACTAAAGTCATGCAAGGGCTTAACATTTTCTGTAAAACATGCACTTTTAAGTTTTGAGTGGCAAAAACTAATTATCAAATATGCTAGCTGTGCAAAAGGCCGTCCTGTCAAAGAAACTTTGAAAATCAAACTTTCTAGTCAACTAACACTGCATAAGACCCCTCTACCCAAGAATTAAAGACACCTTCAAAGTCGTGCAGTGGCTTAAAATCTTTAATAAAACATACACTATCAAATTTCTTTTTTTTTCTTTTTGTTTCTAATATAATTTCTTTTAGCATATTATGGTAAAATTTCATTAGGTTTTGTCACCTAATATAAAATATTAATGTTTCAATACTAGTAAGCTCACATACACCCATAACTTCATCAATCTTACAACTCAGTAACTTTTATGTGACCAAAATAAATTAATTTAATATCGTTGTCAGCCACTGACAGCTTTGCTAAGACCTAGCTGTAGATTGCTATTTTTATTTTTCATCGGTTACCAAATCTCAAGGTAGTTCTGATATACTATTTGATGTATAACCTTAAAAAAATGTCAAAATAGAAATCTTACGTATTTCGGCTTTGCTAACAAATAGGATGTAAAAATGTTTTTTAGTACTTTATTAGTGACTTAACAGAAATACAAGCTTACAATTTACTAAACGAAAAACTCCTTAAATAAGCTGCTGTAATGTTTCAAATGTAGTGCAATTATCCTTGAAATTAGAATATTCAGTAATAAGTTGTGATTTTAATAAGTATTTTAATATTCAATGAACAATTAAAAGAACAAACTATGTAAGTAAAAACAATACGGAGAACAGTCATGCTACGACGTACTAGATGTTTTATAATTATAAAATGACGATTTTTGGGACCATAATATTGATGGAAACGCTCTATGAAACGCTTGTAATAATTCGTTGCCTACAAGAGGCTGTATATTCATGTTAGTTAGTATCAATATCTTCTCACCTTCAGGTGGCGTTGTGTCAGATTGCTGCACGAAGTGAATACGCTGACGTTCGAAAATCCATATCTTTGTTGAGATTGAGAGCACAGAAATTTTTTTGCACAATCGATTAGAATACACTTTAAGAAATATTTTCCAAAGTTAGGATTTTTTATTAACACAAGGAGAAGTCGATTTTATAATTATATGTTTATCGAAAAATTGATTTTTTATAAATGAACAAAATTTTTCTCGATCTTACTATTCATTATAAATTAAGCCATTAAATTTTAATTAATTTTTATCAATAAACATTTTGCAAAAACTAACACTTCAAATGAAAATTATGAAATGTTCCTTATAACGTATGCATCTTTAAAAATCGTCAATAGAAATTACGAAATTCGACAGGTCAGTTTTTGGTAGCTCACTTTAGAGAGTTTGACTCTCCTAAAATCAGAATACTCGGTAAGTGGGTGTGGTCTTGATAAATACTCTAATATTTATCAAATGAACAATTAAAATAGTATATCATGTTGGTAAAGAAAGTACGAAGTACAGCTTAGGCTTGGTGTGTTGTCAGGCTGGCTAGTACGAGACTACCCGCTTTCTTCAAATCTCACAATTATTTCAAGATAACTTTTTGCGCTAACAAAATCTCTAACGTTGTGTTCGCACCTTTCACATACGCTTATTCTTAGTCATGTACATAACATACACACATATATATATATATGTACGTATTGAAATCTCTTTTCATGTATGCAAAATATTGTGGATGTAATTATTTTGTTTGTTCTTCAATTTCGTGGCCCCTTTCTATAGTAGATCATGTCCCACAAAGTGACTGATTCCCAAAAAAACTGGCAAAAAGTCCAAAAAAATTTCTTCAATAAAGATTTTTTTTCTGGCACAAACCTAATTACCGTGTTCTTATATATCTGTCGTACTCATAAAAAAACGAGGCTCCTTGCAGCTATTAACTATGCCTACTTAGATTGCAGATTTGTAATAATGGATAATATGAAAAAATTATTAACTTATTTCATCTGTTGGGCCATTTAGGCGACAATAAGACACCGAAAGTACTGCATTCTGTGCGAACGCTGGTTTCCCTCGACATTGAGGCACAAACGCCACTTAGCCGGCTATCAACATCGACATACTGAACTCAGTCAACGCCGGGCCATTCATATGCTGTTTCTTATATTTACGGGAAACCTTTGCCCAAAGCTGTTACCACCAAACGTTGTCAAAACTGACTGCATGTTAGGTGAGCTAACGCCTCTGCAAATTGCCCTCCAGGTAAGTGATGCCTAAGTTATTATATTTGATACGTAAAAATTTAATAAAAACGTATTTGATGGTAGAAAAAAAAGTCATTTTTTCATGAATCCTTAACACCAAAATGTTCAAATGGTAATGAGTAAATCTCATTTGAAGACAAAGAAGTCCTCTTTGAAAAATAGTTTAGTTAATATATTATTAATATATTAGTCAATATATTATTTAATCAAAAATAAGTTACTAATTAGATTCTACTATTCACTGGTGAGAAGGCACTAAATAACGACTTCAGATTATTATATGGAAATCGCGAGCAAATCGATGTGAAGTTCAGCTAATTTAGATTATTAAGTTACAATCCAGTATTCAAAAAAAAAACCAAAGGAAATCCATAAAAAATTAAGAAATATTTTACAACAATCTTGGATTCCAATACTATTTGTAAAAATTTAATAAGTTGTTTTGTTTAGGGGTAAATGCACCAGTAAATGAACGGTTTTGACAAAGAGTGGTTTAAAATGATTGAGGTTACTTACCTATTATCTTAGTTGACTATTGACTAGTAGTATACGGTTATTTTAGATTTATTTAATTAATACAAAAATAATTTAGGCTCAAAAATTTATTTGTTTCTTGTAAAAATTGCAACATATTGTAACGCAGGGTTGACCAATGAATGAATGGTAGTCACCTAGTTCATGAATATTTACGATCCAATGAATGATTGCAGTATTAAATGTTTGATTAATAAGTTAATAAACTATTTATATCATTGTTGTAATACACATTTGTATTTTTAAATTTTTTATTATTCAAAAATCTTTTATAGAACACTAATACGGTAGATTATTAAATACTTTCATTCTTGTGGAAAAGCAAATAAGAAATTTTGTTCTAATGGTATTTTTCTGTTCATTTTTTGTTGCTCATTTTTTTCAACTTGTTGTCTTTTCTCTTCTTGTTTCTGGTTTTGCATTATTTCATTAAATCTTTCTTCTTCCTTTGCTCTCTTTCTTGACTCTATTTTCTCTAGTTTAACTCTCTGCCTACAAATCTTTTCCTCTTCTCTCACTTTTTTTTGAATTTTTTGTCTAATTTTTAAAGTTTCTATGCATGGGAAATGAAAATTTTCTTTCCATATTTGATAAACATACTCAAAAGAAGGCAGACCTCTCTTCAATGTTCAAGAACAATACTGTAAAGAGCTTAGAAAAACAATTTTTTTTATTATAATACTTACCAACTGCAGGTGGATTGGTAGTGAATGATGTCATCATAACATTTAATTTAAGAAAATTTTCATCTGATTTCAATAATTCCAGACTTAAAATTGTTATTTCACATCCTCATAGCGCCTAGAAAGCGAAATTAGAGTTTTATGTGGAAGCCAGGGGCTAGTAACAAGACTAAGTAGTGACACACAAGTTTTGCTAGGATCGTACGCTTAGTGCCGTATTACCTCTGTTACCAAGTAGTGAGTCTCGAGGGAGTGAAGAGACAATGTCCGCCATTTGAGGCTCATGGGGAAAGGCGTGAGCTTTAAAACGCATCATTTAGCATATATATACGTCGCTATATACATATGTATGTATGGATATTTACGTATTTACAAGTATATGACTAAAGTCTCCATGAGCCTCAAATGGCGGCTGACCAATCAGCAGTGGTCCCGATGGTGTCTTCTCATTTCCTCGAAGCTTACTAGTTACCAAGCTCTCGAGTCATAAGAACCATAACCTAAACCACTATGCTACCGTAGCTGCAAAAAAAAAAGAAAACAATAAATTATGTTTAGCAACATAATTAACTATATAATCTTTAAATTAAGTATGAAAATTATGTTGCATGGTAGGTTATATCCATTTCTTGAGGAAAGTTCTACTGTTCTAAAACAAAGGAAGCTTTAAAATTCTTACAGTTTTTTACAATGATTTTATCTGCTTTGCAAAAAATGAGGCAAAAATTGAAACTTAAATATCGAATACTAAAAATCATGTGTAAAATATGTATATTTATCTGACACTAGCACCAAACCCATCATACCAGCGCTAATATCGAGCAAGTGGGAATGTTTAGCGGAAGCTTTGCCACTAGCAGTACAGCTGCAGTATAACCATAATGGCGTCTCAAAAAAATATATACTAGAGGAGTTCTGCCCCTCTGCGCGCTCCGTGGATCAACTTTCTATTTCTAGTATTCAAAATTAATTAGAAAATTGAAAAAGTCTCTCACTTTTTTTTTTTTACAATTTGTCAACGTTAAGTAACATCATCCAAGATTTTACTGGCAACAATAAGAGAGAAAAGACTATTTATTGAAAATAACAATAAACATCCAGAAATATGTACTAAAATTTATTTTATCTAGATATGTACAAATACAGTAAATATATAGGTACAATAAATAGAAGAACGTAAATTTTATATGTTGTAGTATATTTATTCAAACAGCGTTTTGAAAGATTGTGCACATAACTGATTAGTAATGACTTTTACGGTTGCTATTATTACATTATTATATGAATCTTAAATTATTCAACGTATGTGTGTATCATGTAACATACTTACATGTATTAAATGAAAAATTTATATACTGACATAAAAATAATCACAACAAAAAAAAATTTATCTCTCATTCTGAAAAAATGTGCGGTGTTGGATTGCAACAATTTGAAAAGATTTAAATTTTTGACAAAAGAAATTTATAAAAAAAAAAAATGGCTTGATGCCGTTTGCCAAACAAAAGATTTTCCAAAAACGTTTCATGGCCTTTGTATGGACCACGTTAAACCCTCTGATTTTTTGAATCACGTTCATCTATGTTGGGTAAATATGACAGCTCAATTTAATAATTTATAGTTTAAAAATAAATGCTGTACAGTACATAAAAAACGGTGTAAGTTTAGCTGAAAAGTAGCAATCTTGGATGATAATAATGAGTTTCCAGTATATGGTTATGAAAAAGTTGTCAAAGATAATTTTGATTCCAATGAGAAAGTTACTGATAAACTAGAGCACGTTGCTATAAATGAAAGAAGTAGCCCAGTAATATCTAATGAAAATAGATGTGTTGATTGTATAATTGGGATTGAAAAAAAAGGGCATCTCTTCAACATAGAAAATTTGAAATAAGATTCTAAACTTATTTTAGAATTTACCAGACTTGAAAACTATGAAAAGTTTATGACAGTGTTTCATAGTTTAGGTAAAAAAGTGTATAAGCCCATGAGCTGAAGTGTCAAGAAAGAGGTGCAACGAACTTTCTATCAGTTAGAAATCAACCTTCTTTAACTCGATGGAAGCTGCAAAAAATTTTTACTGATGACAAGTTAGAGACTTTTCTTAATATCAGTAAAAGTGCTGCTGGACATATTTTTAAAACATGAGTCATGTTTATATGTATCTCACCAGTAATCTAAGATGAATGTATGAACAAGTCCACAACTAACCCTTTATTACATGCCTGATAATTTAAAGAAAATCTTTCCGAACACTAGGGTAATTATTAATGGTACAAAAAAAATTCTGTCGTGCAACAAACAATTTTTAGCTATAAGAAGAATAATACTACTCTGAAGAGTCTCATGGGAGTCACAAATAGAAGATTATTTTCATTTTGTAGTGAGTCTTATGGTGGCAGTACTAATAACAGTCAAACAGAAGAAATATGTAGTCTACAGTTTACATATGGTCCAGAAGATGTGGTTATGGTAGATCATGATTCAGCTGTCTGCTATCAAGTCAAGTTTATCTATCATTCAATTAAGTCAATATGTTTTTGTATAAAAAAAAGTGATCTGCAGAGTGAGCAGTTCATTTGTATTTATTACTTGATTATTACCTTAAAGTACTATATAAATAACTCACACAAATCATATACACATATTGTTAATTTGCAATCAACAGCGGGTGACATTATTGAGGTAACGTTTACATCTTCATTTATATAAAAATTGATTCATGAAGAAATTAGAAATAATACGTTCAAAATGAAGCATGACTTTTGTTTGATTACAATACAAGGAGTATTCTTACATGTATATATATTTATATATTAAAAGTTAGTTAGGTAACGTTAATTAAGGCCTACTAATCTCTGATTAAAGCCACCTTCTCAAAGGCCTACCAAACGTTCCTTGACGCTGCACAGTGGTTCCAACTTTTTTTTTAAATTTGGCTACTGCCCACATTTCTGCACCTATTTTGATATTTTTTTTCTAGGTAATCTTAAAAAAAATTTCCAGTAACTAATCTAGGCCTTTTCTTTATTCTATTTTTTTTCAATTCAAGACTTAACCTAAAATGTTGAAAAGCTGCAGCTCGTCCATATAATTTAACGATTTCAAGCTTTAATTAATTATTTAAATTGTTAAATCATACTGAAAGTCATTAGAATATATACATAAATATATTTAGGTATTTATAAAGTAAAAAGGTTATTTACACATTTTGAAGTTATGTAAAAAAAACAGGAATTTTCGTGAAATTATCTATGTAATACAGTTTTGTAGATCTTAAGCGACACAGACAGAATCTTTTTAATTTTCAAAAGGAATATTTACCTATATGTACTATTTCTTCTTTTGAAGACTCATAACCTAACCTCGAATGGTAAAAATCAATGTTTGTGCTAACAGTTAGACCACTCAATAATATATAAATAAAATAAAATTGTTATTAACAGTTAGAATGACACCAACATACACGGCTTAATATCTGTGAACAGGAATAATCTTACTAATATATAAAGCAAAGTCGCTAAAACTGTTTTAATCGTTAACCACGAAAATACTGAACCAATTTTGCTAAAATTTCGCATACCAATTCTTGACACTTCCTAGACGATTTTAGTAAAGTTTTTATCTTGAAAAATTTAATAAAAATAGCAAAAAATAAGCTCAATATTTTGAAAAAATATGCTAGTGAAATAGGATCCGATGGGCGCGTCGACATAAAATCGGAGCTACCTACAACACAATTAAATAAGTGTGATTATAATTGTTTAGAGCGTCTCGGAAG